AAACAATCTGATTAAGTAATGGACACAGGACCTAAATAGACATTTCCACAAAAAGGACATACAGATGGCTTAGAGACATACTTAAGAACGCTCGAGCCCTGGCTGGTATAGCTCAGTGGATTGAGCGCAGGCTGGGAACCAAAGTGTCCCAGGTTCGATTCCCAGCCAGGGTACATGCCTGGGTTGCAGGCCATAACCCCCAGCAACTGCACATTGATGTTTCTCTCTCTCTCTCTCCCTCTCTCCCTCTCTCCCTCTCTCTCTCCCCCCCTCCCTCTCTAAAAAATAAATAAAATCTTAAAAAAAAAAAGAATGCTCAACATCACTCATTGTCAGAGAAATGCAAATTAAAACCACAGGAAAACAACACCAAACACCTATCAGGATGGCAATCATCAATAAATGAAGAAACACATGTTGGCAATGGTGTAAACACACAAGGGTGTCCAACCTGTGGTCTGCAGGCCACATGCAGCTCAGGATGGCTATGAATGCGGCCCAACACAAAATCATAAATTTATTTAAAACATTATGAGATTTTTTTGTTTCTGTTAGTGTTTGTGCATTTAATATGTGGCACAAGACAACTCTTTCAGTGTGCCCCAGAGATGCCAAAAGGTTAGACACCCATAGTAGAGAAATGGTAATTCTAATGCACTGTCAGTAGAATTATATTGATAAATAGGTACAGTCAATTTGGAGGTTATGGAAAAATTTACAAACAACTACCATAGGATCAACAATTCAATTTCTGGAGAATTATGCAAAGAATATAAGAACATTTACTCAAATTTTGTAACACTACATTCATTGCAGCATTATTTAAAATAAACAAGATATGGACTGATGAAAAAAATGACTATCTTTACAATGGTGCTGTATAATTTGGAATAAATTTTAAAATTTCACTATAGTTCACATAATATTGTCAGAAAATTTATATTCAAAATTTTCTCCTTCAACACACACTCAGAACAGTATAAAAAATGAGGATAGTGTAAAAAGACCCTGGGACAATGTCAAGCATACCATCAGTCACATCCTGTGAATGTGAAGAGAGAAAGCAAAAAATTGAAAATATGACGAAAAAAACTTCCCTAACCTGGTGGAAGAAATGGACATGCAAGTCCATGAGGTTGAGAGAGTCCTAAACAATATGAACACAAAGAGTCTCACAGAGAGACACATAATAATTAAAATAGCAAAGGTTAAAGATGAAGAGAGAATCCTAAAAGCAGCAAAAGAAAAACTCCCACAAGACTGTCAGCTGATTCCTGAAGACAAACTTTGCAAACCAGAAGGGATTAGCAAACAATATTCAAAAGCAAGAAACTACAATCAAGATTACTCTACCCAGCAAAGCTATCATTTAGAATTGAAAAATAAAGAGCTTCCCATTTAAAAAAAAAACTAAAGGAGCTTATTATCATCAAACCAGTATTACAAGAAATATTAAAGGGTCTTCTTTAAAAAGAATAAAATAAAGATAAAAAATATGAATAATAAACAGCCAAAACAAAAATGAAAATCTTACCATTTGTGACAGTAAAAATGCACCTAGAAGCTGGTATGCTAGGTGAAATACATGAGGCAGAGAAAGATATAATCATATGCCCTATTATTTCACTTATATATGGAATTTAAAGAACAACATAAATGAACAAACTAGAAATAGACTGATAGAGAACAGACAGATGGCTGCCAGAGGGGTAGGGGGATTGCAGGACTGAATAAAAACGGTAAAACAATGGAGAAATACAAAATAGTAGCTACAAACTAGTCATGGGTATGTAAAAATACAGCATAGGAAAAATATTGGGTTGTCCAAAAAGTCCGTATGATTTTTTCCATAAAATAAAAGACACATTTTTCATTTTTACCAATAACTTTATTGATTTGAATATTTTGGGTATGACAGCTATCTCCTGTGTGGTATAACATTGATTGTTCTCAATTAAAGTCTTGATTTGATCACTATCAACTTCAAGTGGTCTACCTGACCATGGAGCATCGTCCAGCCAGAATTCTCCAGCATGAAACTTTATAAACTTCTTTAGACATGTTTGATCAGGCACAGCACCTTCTCTGCACAGATTTTTTTTTTTGAGTTTCAGTTGCATTTTTACCTTTCTTGAAATAATAAAGCATAATATGTTGGAGTCCGCCCTGCCTGGTCTCAGAAAGCTGTAATCCCCTGTGACTTAGGCTGAATGAGAGAGACCTCTGAACCAGGAGCCACTAAGGAGACAAAACTTATTTCCCTGGCATGAATGCTGCCTATTCTGTGCCTGGCCTCCTATGCTTGATCAGTTAGCCAATGATGGGTAAGATTTCCCAAGGGGGAAATCATCTAAGACAGGCATGATCACAAGGAGGCCTCAGGGAAGAGATTCGGGGCTGTGGAAATGAAGAGGTGATCAACATCAACCCCTGTCCCCTCGGCTTTGTAAAAGCCTGAGTCCTTGTTCTAAGTTGTGAGAATTCCAAGTCTCCTGGTTGCCTTTGTCTCCTCTGCTGACTCAGGCCTGTGGAAATAACAGGGGCGGTGCAGCCCAGACCAGAGTCGGCGGACCCCCAGGGTAATCAGGCCTGGGACATAGAATATGCAAGATCCTGTGAGATCTGTTTGCTGGAGGATGCTATTGAATTAGAATTTGAAGGCACAAGCAGGAAATGAGACTAGCCTTTTAGGATCTGTATTGATAAAACCCCAAACTTTGCCCAGAATCCCAGTGGGAGTTCTGTCAGACCCTTTGAAAATTACCTATTCCTTTTCATCTTCCCTGCCATACTGGGAATCCACAAACTGTGTCTGTATTTTTAATCAAAAGATTTCTCAGGTGGGGGCTTGGGGCGCTCTCCACTAGAGAGGGTGGCCATGACGCTCTCCACTAGAGAGAGTGGCTGTTTCATCCCTATTTCCCCACAGGACCCAGTTATCTCTGTGTATGTTTTTCTCATGTTTCCACGAGCCATTCGTAGTGTTCCACAGTCACTGCAGGCCAGTGGTCATGTCAATAATATGCCAAAAAGGTTGCGTATTTTCATTCATCTTCAATATTAAAATGGCTACACAAAAATATAACAATTTTGATAAGTTTTTCTTAAATGCATGCTGACATGATAGCTGTCACCATACAATTTAACAAAATTATTTCAAATGAAGTTAAAGACAACTAAGCAGTACTAGAGCCATGTATGGAAAAAATCAAATGAACTTTTTGGCCAACCCAAAAGAAAATAATATTGTAATAACTATGTATGGTTCCAGTTGGGTACTGGAAATATCAGGAGGGACACTGTAAGACTGTAAATTAAATTACTGTCTAACCACTATGATGTATACATGAAACTAACATAAAATAATATTGAATGAAAAAATGCAAAACAAAATTCCAAATACTATATGAAAGTAGTATTGAAAAAGAATTCTTTATAACTAAAAATTTTAGCTGAGTGTGTGCCTGCATAAACAATAAACATTTTATATCACAGCATGAGATATATGGCAGGAAAATTTCATGAGAAATGCATTCAAATCATTTAAAAATACCTCTAAAAGGTAATTTTCACAGAGATGCATTTATTTATTAGTTTTCCAAATTATAAGAAAAATTTATTAAGAAATTACAGAGGTAGTAGAAGTGAGCCAGCCTGGCTGTGTAGGCTCAGGAAACAAGGTACAGAAATAGAAGAAAGGCCTTTGGAGCTTAGGAGAAGCAAAGGCAAAGGGTTATGAGACTGGGGAAAAGAAGAGAGGGGAGAAAAAGGCACAAGCATGCTCCTGAGAGGGAGAGCAAAATAACAAAGCATTTAAATGACATGAAACATTTTTCAGTTATTAATTTCAGCTATTCTTACACAAAATGTGTAAGCTGTAATATATCCTACAGAAAAAAGTTAATTTCTAAATTAAAAAACCATAATAAAGTTGTAAAATATGAACAGACTTTCTGATTTCTTTTAAGATTCTATTTATTTACTTTTAGAGGGGAAGGAAGGGAGAAAGAGAGGGAGAAAAACATCAATGTGTAGTTGCCCCTGGTGGACCCCCTACAAGGACCTGGCCCACTACCCAGGCATATGCCCTGACTAGGAATTGAACCAGAGACCCTTTTGTTCACAGGTCTGCACTCAATCCACTAAGCCACACCAGCCAGGGATGACTGATATTTAAACTAAAAATTTCAGATTAAGCACAAAATGATTAAAAGACATACTGAGGAAAACAAATGAAAAATGGAATCACTCGGTTTTTTTGCCTTAAGTAAACTTAAACTGAGGAACAAAACATTTTCCTAAATAAGAAATGTCTGAGATATCTATAACTCAATTTCTTACTAAAGGGGTACCTTCGAGCACATTGTACCAGCACTTCTCTATCTAAAAGAACAAATTTGACAAAGATCTAATCAGAAAGTGAAAATACATAGGACATAATCTAGGCAGCTTTGGGCTGAACAAGAGACAATGATAAAATGACAGTGAGAAAGAAGTCAGGTAGCAATACTTTCCTCTGTGGTAGGCAATGTTCTAAGGTTGCCTATGGCAATAATTTATTGAAGAATTCTGTGAAGTGATAGGTGAACTTAACTATCCTAACATGGAGAAACCAGAACATATAGGTTGGAAATTTCTTGTTAGTTCATGCAAAGAAAAATTACCTTTTTTTTCTGGAATGATGACCTTTTGAAGTGAAACAGAAAATTAGATTTTCTCATTTGGGGTATGTGCATTATGTGTAATGAAATCACTGAGAATGAACATTGTAGGATCTTATTTAAAGCCTCTACAGAATTAGAAATCATATACCAGAAAATATGACACCTGTCCCCAGGATCCCTGTAATTTCTGCAACAAATTTCAGAATCTCAACAACTTTCTTCATAAACATCTTACATGAGACAAAAGCAAATCAAAAAATAAAAAGCTTAACATACAATTCCTCAGTGATGTGCACTAATTTTCCCAGGTTCCTAAAGCAATGGGAGGAGCCAGACCATGGTGGCCCCAATAGCTATTGTGATGAGAAAGGTCACTAGGGCAGGAGGGTTCTGAGAAGATGTAGGAACTTGGGACATGTTGGACACAAGTTGGCTCTCTATGACAGTAACAGAAATGAACCTGAGATTCTCAAAATCCTTTCCACTGAAGCATAGCTTATCAAGCCACACTTTAAGGTCTGGCTTCCTCTATGACCTTTGGGCTTCTCACTTGTGTCACCTGCTTCCCTATCCCCACCCACCTGGGTGGACGGATATTGTCTGTTTTCTATTCACATCCCAGTGCTCCTTCATTTGCTCCAAACAGGTGACCAGGATGGGCTTAGAGAGAGTAAGACCTGTTTATTAAAAAAAAGACCATGAGTTTTGATATAGTTTATCCCATTTCCAATCTAGTTTGTACTAAGGTGAGAAGACATGGTAGGATATTGCAATATTCTACAAAATGATTTTCCAAAATGCTATTTTGGGACAGCACCTAAATATTCTAGATAATATGTAAAGTTTTAAGACACTGAGTTCCTATTTCAAGTACATCGCAAAGCTTTTTTTTTCTATACCAGAAAACCTGTGAACTGTTCCTAGAAAGCAAGAATTTGAAAGGCTACCATACAAAACAGAAGTCCACAAATGATGTAACTAAGAAAGAAAACAAAACCATGCCAGTGCAGAAGGAGCTCTGGCAGCAAGTCATTCTCACCCAGGGAGACCAGGTTCTTATAGTTCTCCAACGTCACATCCATGTACAATTTCTGCTGAGCTGGGTCCAGGCATTCCCACTCCTCCCCAGAGAAATCTACTGACACATCCCTGAAGGTCAATGATAGCTGGGAGGAAAAAAGAGACACATTTACCAAGGAGACACCAGTGGAGTTCATATTGTCATCCAATATGAAAACAGTGTTAGAACACTGGTTCTAACCTAGAGAACCTAAGAGAGCATCCTGCATCATTCAATAAGGTCATTTTGACCCCATAACACTCTCTAACGTATTTTCTAATGCTGAGAAATGAGGATGGCACATGTCCACAAGTCAACTGCAGAGACTTTACTTTTCAGGAAAATAAACTTTAAAATGAATGAACAGACACAGGCATATGGATTTGTGAGTGTTATACTCGCATCATTCAGCATCAGCTGTTTATATTTCTCAGCTGGAAAAGGCAAGGGAAGTTGGAAGAATAAGTACTTCTCCAAGTTTAAAGTGGATAGCAAACAACTGCATTTTTGTAACAAATGCAGTTCTCGGATGGGGCCTGTGTTTTCACATTTTTAACAAGCTGACTTTTTACTAGTGACACCAATGTCTGTGGGCCATGTGCCAACTTCTAAATAGCACAGAAAAAGAAAGCACAGGGAAAAATTCATACATGATTTTGAACTGAAAGAGTTTTATGGAACTTACAGTTCTCATACCACAGTAAGCATAGCAACTACAATTGTGTTTTAAAATTTACTGTAAGTAATCTTAGAATCAGATTATTCTTCCTGTGTTACCAGAGTATTTTGTGAAACATACAGTAGAACACCATGTGTATTGTAAAACACCATGTGTTTTACTCCAACATGATCTAAAATTTTTCAAAAAATAAATATTAAAAAACATAGGCAAATACACATAAAGAAACCTAATGAAAGTTCACAGCAGTTTCTATAACTTAGAATAACAAAAAGCAAGAAGAAAAGGTAGCTTACATAATATTAACATTTTATGCATACATAGATAGATACTCTATGGGAAATGTGTGTGTGATGATATCACTGAGACTGAACTTTGTAGTATCTTATTTGAAGCCTCCATAGAATTGCAAATTATATCACTTTAAAAGTGATAAAAAATAGAACTTTCACATCCATGAAATTGAGATTAATTAGCGATTCTATAAATTTCATGAATTGTCCTGTGCATGATACCCTTTGTATTTTACAAACACAATAAGAAGAACATACATAGTAATGAAAAAAAAAGTTAAAACTTTTGTTGCTCAGTCTTTAATTTCTTTGAAAATTTTTGTGTATCATTAGTGGTAAGCTATTTGATGTGACATTACACAGGAAAAATAAAGAAATCGTTATGCAAAAATGATCACAAAAAAACATTAATTTCTGCAAATGTCAATGCACATGTATCTCCAATGTCTGCACTCTAATAGTACATTTAAATATCAAGTCTTTGTTGGGGGCAGGGCAGAGGGGGGTTAAAGGGGAAAAATTAGGAAAACTGTAATAATATAATCAATAAAAAATACTTTAAAAAGTAACCAAGAAGTAATGTGGACAAATAAAGTCAAACAAAATCACTCATTAAAAAAATAGCAAGTCTTTCTTACCAATCTAGTGAGCAAGTCCCTTCTACATACTCTTCTATCTACTCAGGACTTTCTGAGCTATCCAGGTCACTACAATATGCATTTTTTTACCCCTGGTATACAGAGCTGATGCTGCAGCCACATGAACCTAAACCTACATTCCCTTCATTGATACCTGAGCCTCTGAGCCCATCCCAACAGGGATGCTGGACATGGGAACTTTCCCAAGTTGATTTGTCACAAAGGGGATGTTTTCAGTAGTTGAAGGTCATTAATTCAAGGAGGGAATTCTTCATGTCCTTGGGGAACCTGGATAAAGAAAATGCAGAGAAGGCTCTGGGACAAAGGAGAGAAGTATATAAACTGTTGACCTTGATGATCACAGGAAGAAAAAGAAGAAAATGACTAGATGAAAACTACCTTGCTAGTCAAGAACATCAAAAATCGAAAATTAAAGATTGCAGGTTCTAAGTTCAGAGATGTTAGGAAGAAAAGCTGACACAACCTCTGACCCAGGACATATCATTTACCTGAGAAGCAGCCATGTCGTCCTAGTCTTGCTCCTGCTGTGGGCTGTTTTCTCAGGCAAATATGTTGAGGAGTCACATCTGCATTATGAGGATGCACCTTCAAAGGTATCCACACAGTCCCTTCCTCCACTTCCACCATACTCACAGGCAGAAGGATGTGAAAATGCTAAAATGGACTCCCTCTTGTGTTCTTTTTTTCACAGGACACTCAGAAACAGTGAGCTCCTACATGGACCTGGAAAGATGAAAAGGCCACTCTCTCCTGTCCTTTGTCATAGAAGAGTCAAGAACAATAATCTTCTAGGTAGAGACCACACTGTGAGATTTTTCTTTGTTTTCATGTGCTCTCTCCTCCCACAGACATCCATAAACTTTAGAGCAATGAGAATGTGCACTACTCTCCTGAATCCTCAAACCCAATAAAGCACCCCATTACCTACCCTGACCAGAGCCTGATCTACAATCTCACAAATGCAACCGTGAGTGTGTTTCCCTACTTCCTCACCCTCCCTGCCCCTTGCAGAAAACCTTGATCCTTTCTTTCTCCTAAGCTCCAAGGGCTTTTTTGCCTCTGTCTCTTGTTCCCAGAGCTCACTTCTTCTACCTCTGACTTTCTAAATAAAATTTCTTATATACACAAAATAAAATAACAACAAAAATAATGCATCTCGCCCTGGCTGGCATAGCTCAGTGGATTGAGCGCGGGCTGCAAACCAAAGTGTCACAAGTTTGATTCCCAGTCAGGGTACATGCCTGGGTTGCAGGCCATGAACCCCAGCAACCACACATTGATGTTTCTCTTTCTCTCTTTCTCCCTCCCTTCCCTCTCTAAAGATAAATAAATAAAATCTTTAAAAATATATTTAAAAAAATAATAATGCATCTCAGAATCTTCCTGCTAATCCCCGGGCTCAACTTAGCATCACTTGGAGCACTTCATTAAACAATGATGCCCCACCCAGAACAGTTGTCAAACTTTGTGGAGGATGGCACAGCTGATGCCATTTTTTAAAACTCTTCATGTGACCTAACAGGAACTCAGAGGGGAAGAGTTTAGTTTTCAGTTGTTTTTTGTTGCTGTTGTTGCTGCTTTTTTTAGAGAGGGGAAGGGTGGGAGAAAGAGAGGAAAAGAAACATTAATAGGCTGCCTCTCATTTGCCCTCAACTGGAGACCTGGCATGTGCTCTGACCAGGAATCACCCTTTGCTATGCAGGAGGACGCCCAACCCACTGAGCCACACTGGTCAGAATGGAACAGTTTAGCTTTAATAAGCATGTAGATACCCTGGGGATCTGGACCACACTCTAAGTTATCGTTCTGCAGGTAGGCATTGGGGCCCATGATATGGCATCTTTAACTAATTTTTTTCTGGTGCCTTCCTCAGAGCTGTTTTCTGTAGCACTGGGCAACAGATATCAGAGCCAGCACAACTCAGACCTCTGGGTACTGTAATGGCTTGGGGAGGGAACTTCCAGAAGGACAGGCTGCCTGGGCAGAATTCCTTTTTCTTTTTCAGGAAATTACAGTGAATTATTTTAAAAACATAAAATGATAATAGGTTGTAAAGCTGAAAACTTTTTAAAAACTTAGCTATAAAAATACATTCATCAAATTACAAAATGAATAGATGGGCTCTGTTCCAATCAAGTTTCAGGTCAATCCAGTCCATCCTTCAATATTTTCACAGAAAGGACAAGAGGGACTTGAGGGGAACAGTTTCTTTGTGCTCACTAATTCAACAAATCACATAAATGGAAGGAACATTAGTCCAACTCATGAAACTATGTTCTGACTATTAAGACCACTGACATCCTTACCAAGTAAGTGCACACTGGAATAGCCTGATATTATTGACTAAGTACCAATGGATATTTCCACATATGATAAAGAGTAGAGAGGATACAAGTTCAGAATATAAACTAAATACAATATATTTAAAAGGAAAACAATTTGGGATTGTATAATGGTATTTTTAAAATTTATTTATTTATTTTTAGAGATAGGGTAAGAGAGAGAGAGAGACAGAAACATCAATGTGTGGTTGCCTCTCACAGGCCCCCCAGAGGGGACCTGGCCCACAACCTATGGAATCGAACCAGCAATGCTTTGGTCACTGATTTGAGCTCAATCCACTGAGCTACACCAGCCAGAGCCCATCTGGGATTTTTTTCTTTTTAATGTAATAACTTCTGTGGTCATAGTTTTAAAAAAGTTAAGACTACCTCATACTTAGAAAAGAATGTTAAATGCTGGTTAAGAAACATCCCCAATGCTTATTTCAAAACTTACTGACTAGTTACAGAAAAGTAGGTATTCAACAGACTAAGATTTATCTCAATGGTTTTTTAAAAATAAATTCAATGTGAGGTGTAGAAGTAAATCCCTAGGGAAGAAAAAAAATAAGACCCAATGTTTTTAATATTCCTTGAAAAAGCATCATTTGATAACAGGCTTAGTTACTTCATGTCCCAGGTCACCTCTCTCTTGCCATCCCAGGAAATGAGAAGGGAACCATGACTAACAGAGAAGTCTCTGCCCTGAGTGACTAAGGGGTTTCAACTGAAAAGAAATTTTTATACTATTCACAAGCCTTATAAACTGGAGATTTGTAATTCTCATTCAAATCTATTTAAAGGAAACAACTCGGCAAATGTTAAATTAAACATATAAAGCCACAAGTCGGTATCTCACAACTTAATTATCTACATCCCACCAGCTTACCACTTCTCTACATCACGGTTCCTCTTCTTCCGTTACCATGTATTTTTGTGTATGGATCTGTTTCTGTCTCTTTCCTGTCCCTCTGCACTGTTGTACTTTTCTGTTTCTCCCTTTTTTTCTATTCCTGTCCCTACACCTGTTCCGTGAAACAACTGAAACCTATTTCACCTTTAGCTGTTGTTTCTCCCTGATCTTTCTGATTGCTCCCATCTCCATGTGTCTGGGTGTTTCCCTCCTCCCACCCCCATGCCTGTGTCCCCTCTGCAGCCCCCGTTACAATCTTTCCCGTCACCTCGGCCCCCCGCTGGCAGACTCTCAGTGCTGTTTGTCCCTCAGCTCCGTCACCTCAAACCCCCTTTCCGTCCCAGCCCTCGCTCCCCTAACTTGTCTCTTCAGAACCACTCCCTCCGTCTGAAGCGCATAGCCCTTTGCTGCCCCCGCGTCTGCTCAAAGGCCCCTCTCCCTGTCAGCTCTCGTGGTCTCTCTGGGGCTTCCCCGTCTCCTTCGCATTTCTTCTCTGTCTCCTTCCTCAGGTTCCTTTCCCCACTTACCCTTTCAGTCCTACCTCGAGGTCCCATCCCTCCCACATCCCCTGCGTTGCCGTCTCTTACGGCCCCTCACGGACCTTTTCTTCACCTCACGAGTCAGTCTCCCTCAGTCCGTCTCCGGATCCCCGTCACAGCCTTGTTCGGCCGCTTTCCGGCTGCCCCTTCACTGTCTCCGCTTCCACAAAGCCCCTCCCTCGTGGGGCAGGTCACTTCTCCTGAAGACAGTGTGTTCTCCCTCCTGAGTCCCACCCCATGGAAAGTGTGCTCTTTCTGGGATTCGAGTCTCTTATCAAAGGGGAAGGTCCTGCAGATTTCCAGGCCCGAGTGCAGTCCGGGCTTCAGGGACCCAGAGAGGCGAGGTGGGAAGCGGGGCGCAAACGGTTTAACTGCATCTCCTGAGTGTGTCTCTCGAGCTGTCTCTCGAGCTGTCTCTCGAACAACGTGGGGTGGGAGGGCTGCCCAGGGAAGAGCTTTAAGCTGATAAACCGCAGAGCAGACGGTGTCCAACGGTGTAAAGGGAGGGACTACCGGCGAAACTGGCTGAGTTTCCGCGGAAACGAACACTGAGTCAACCCATTTCCCGCCCCCTCCCGGAGGGAAGAGGTCTGTGTTTCCCGCCTCTCACTAGGAGGCCGGACTCACCACTGTAGGGGGTTCAGAAGTGGGGCATTTCAACGTTTGCAGCGACCCCAAGGATTCGTACTAGTTTACGCTGTGGACTGAACCGAGAGGTTTGCACCGGAAGACCACCAGCAGGAAGACGGGGAGGATGTGGCTACTCCAGAGCCGCTTCTAGGTCTGCAAGAAACTGCGCGTGCGCTTCGCCTCCGCTGTCGAGCGCCTCCCAAGTCGAGACACAGAGGATTTACAACAGAGTGGTTCTAGCAAGTGGCTGGGAGTGACAAGTGGCCACACCTGTGATGAGATGGCCGCAGGAAGGGGAAGGGATCATGTTAGGGGCACTGCAAGAGCTCCCCTTCACCTCGTTATCATTTGTTATAGCCTTTCCTTACCCACATCATTATTCCTAATACTTGTAAAATTTCTCTCCAAAATTAATGTTACGATGACCCCCCAAGGATTCAATTTTGGATAAGATCTTTGTCATACATTTCTCTTAGACGTACATTGACTTAAGTTATGTTTGACCATCAGTTACATACATTGCAATGCACATCATGTGTTAACTTTTCCACCAGAATGAATTTCTGATACTCAGTAAAAATTCGTCCTGCCAGAAGTCCTTCCAAAGTCATTATGTTTGCAGTTTTCCTCTAAGTATAACTGTGATATCTGTTATTAATGATAACTCAAAACTTTCCTATTTTTATTGCAAAGGCTGCTTTTCATACTAAGAAGAATTCTTTCCAGTTTTAAAGAAAAATACTGATGTGAAAGAGAACCATGGATT